CCGGCCCGGCAGGTGTCATAATACCAGTTTCGGCCATGGGAGGCGGTATGCGGGCGGGCAACATAACCACCAGCCAAACTGCAATACACAAGTAACTTGCACGGCTTGTGGTGTACTTGAACCTGATGTCAATCGTGCGGAAAGTACAGCCCACTACTACATTTCAGTTCATTGAAGAGTTCAAAAAATGATTGGTTGACATTATGCGTGAGGAATACATTTTGGTAAGGTGTAGCATACCCAGATAGCAAACTGACATTGAATCAACGTGGAAATATGACATTGAAACAACGTTGATCCGACATTGTTTTGCTCATCGAATTAACGTTGAACCAACGTCAGGCGCGTCATTCTTTCAAAACTAACGGAAAATCAACTTGAAATCAACGCATTGTTTCAACGTTATGAAAGCAAACCAATTTTCGATTTTCATTTAGCTTTGAAGAATGCCGCATCTGACGTTGGTTCAACGTTAATTCGATGAGCAAAATCAACGTTGTTTCAATGTCATGAGAGACGTCGTTTCCACGTTGATTCAATGTCAGTTTGCTGTCTGGGATACTGTATCTTTCAACGGTGTTCATGTTCTTTTACCTTTAGCTAGTAGAGATGATCGGTTCACGTGCGCTAGGGATCTGTGGTGTAACATTTACAAGCACCAAAACTGTATTTATTGTTTTAATTGCATAATAAAATTGACAGAATCTGAGAGCTGAGATTTTTTTTTATATATCATAACTAACCTGCTATGTCTAGTCTGTCCTTTTCTGTGCGTGACAGAATTGATGTGTGGCGTGAGAGCGTGTGAAAAGTGTCAATTGCGTATCTCGCGCTGAATTGGTGAGAGTTGGCGCTAGCTTGGTCAACATCAGCAAATGCTGTCTGTCAAATTAATTCAAACTAGCAAAAAAAAAAATGTAATATGAACAAAACGAATAATGTAAAACTTCAAATAATAGCCCGTGCTTTTATTTGTATTTAAGACAGTAGTCTATGAGATGGCCTTTATAATTTAGTGTTGAGATGTTGTAGCCTGGATGCCAGCCCGAACTCCGCCCACAACATTTTTTGGTCGGGAAGTTCGGTCTGGACTCGATCCATTGAGGAGAAATTATGATCAGGCAAAAAATGATCGGGCCAATCAAATTGCCAGGGCGGGCTTTATACGATGATGGACAGATAATCTGCAGGGACGTAATTAATTCGTTACATTTATATAGCGCTTTTCTGGACACTCAAAGCGCTTCACATAGAAGGGGGGATCTCCTCAACCACCACCAATGTGCAGCATCCACCTGGATGATGCGACGGCAGCCATAGTGTGCCAGAACGCTCACCACACACCAGCTTACTGGTGGAGAGGAGACAGTGATGAAGCCAATTGGTGTATATGGGGATGATTAGGAGGCCATGATGGACAGAGGCCACTGGGCAAATTTGGCCAGGATGCCGGGGTTACACCCCTGCTCTTACGAAAGACATCCTGGGATTTTTTATGACCACAGAGAGTCAGGACCTCGGTTTAACGTCTCATCCGAAGGACGGTAATCATCACGTTATCAAAAATTGCTTGTCAAAGATGACTGAAGCTGAAGAATTGAGATGTATACAGCGCATTCATTTTAATAGACAGAGAACTGCAATCAAGGCATTTGTCTTTTGGAAAGATATTTTTGGTGTCCTTCCTACATGATTCGGGAAAAGTGTAACTTATCAGCTGGCTCTGACTGTCGTTAAGAAGATGGGACGTAATGAAAAGCCTGTGGTCATTGTGGTTTCTCCTTTGGTGGCACTCATGGAGAAGTAAGTAAAAGAAGCAACACTCGTTATTTTAACTTCTAAAATAAACAAAGTTAGGCTACGTTCTGTATTTGAAAACTGCGCTATGCAAAGGAGTTGACTTACTGCGTTGCTCTGATTGGTTGTAGGTCTACCGACTATCCAATTGAGTGCAGAGGTTTTTTTTTTTTTTCCTGGTTCGGTTATGACACGCCTCATAATCAAAGCCCAACTGAGGAGTTTCAGACTCATATTCTCTCTTGAATATGAGTATGACGAAGTCAGGCTAGAGATGTTGTTCATTGAGTCGCTAATCTCTAAAAATCTCCAAATGCTCCACATGAAACTGCGGTCTTCCAACCTTTTACTATCATGTCAAATGATTTGATTAATATGCGCGAGGGAGAGAGAGCAAGACAGCGCTCGCTCCTGTTGTTTGAAAGTGTGCGCACGGCCGAGGCACAACTCACTTTCTGGAGGTACGCTGCCCCCATCTGGTATGGAATATGGAGTATGATTTGATTTTTTTTTTTTGGCACCTTTAAGCATTCGTCTTCATCCATGTAATCAAAGTTAAAAGGTGCGTATTGCTTACACGGTAAATCTAGGTTTTTAGACTTATTTACATCATACAATAGTAAAAACTTGTCTTTTGACAATAGATTTTCATTTAATGCCAAAAACATTCCTTCTCTCTTGCTTTTTGAAATGACATTTTTTTTGTCTCTCAATAAATTACTGAATACCATGTTGCGCCCAAGCGTGCCGCACAAGCCCTCAAAAGTGAAGCCAAAACGTCTTGAGCGCCCCCTTGTGACCGATCCTAGTATATTAACCCCGCCTCCCCATTTTATTCAACGGAACGTGAGACCCGACAACTAAACAATTAAATTACACTTCACATATCCTTTAGCCAAAGATAGTTTCTGTCATTTATTGTAGTTTCTATCATGTTGATATAATTTCAAGAGTTTGTTTTTAAAATAAGTTTGTTTTAAGTTGACAGTTGAGTGCGCAGACTCAAGTTCTAAGATGTCAGCGCCATATCGGGACATTGGCGGCACTGATGAAAAGAGCGAAGGGGCGTTGTCCATCTTTTTTTACAGTCTATGTTTGTGCCGTCCTGTTTACGGTTGCTTAGTGATTTTTACACTCTTCCAGTAGCAGTATTAACATTAAGTGGTATGGCATCTGACGCACAGAAGCTAATGGCACGTCACTATGCCTATTGGCACATCCGGTGGCATATGCCAGTGGATAGTGCCATGTGTCACTGACATTATTGGCATGTACCAGTGGATAGTGGCATGTGTCACTGACATTATCTTGACACTGACATGACACCTGACTGACACAGAGTCGCGGAACATGTCACTGTATGCAGTAGACTGACAGATTAATCGAGCACCTATTCTGACGTAACTGTGACACAAAATCCTAAATGAAAAGCCTAATTTTGGGATATTTTTAAATATCAATTAAATGCATTAAAGTCAGTAATATTTTTTTCAAACGTGTTACTTGTGTCATGTCTGTATTTGATTGGAATGTGCCACTGAATGTTTTTTAATGTGCTACTTAATTGTTTATATCTCGAAGTCTCAAACTGCCCATTCTAGGAAAGACACAAAGTAAATCTGTCATCACTAAGAATAATGTATTAACAGTCGTGTTCGTTACTGTAAACCTTAATTTTTGCATGATGATGCACGCCAGTAGGTGTCAGTATAAGTGAGTGAAACACTGGCCAGCGCAAGATTCTCATAAGTGGCTTTAATATTTCAAAAATAATTTTAACAAATTATGTATGCTCGATTAATATGTCAATCACTACTGGAGGTGTCACAACATAAGGTGACATGTTCCGCAGCTCTCAGGTGTCATGTCAGTGTCAATGTGCCGTGATAATGTCAGTGACACATGCCACGATCCACTGGCACATGCCAATAAAGACCGGATGTGCCATTACACATAGTGACATGCCATTGGCTTCTGTGCTGAGATGCCATGTCACTGTTATACCGTCTCTCCTTTCTTGGCTACGGTGGTCTGACAGCATACTTCCCATTCGCAGCTGTTTCTTAAAGTCCCTAATGTAATAGATATTTCACGCACCTTCCCCTCTCGGTTCTCCCACAATGCCACAGGGTTCTAATTAGCTCCCTTGCCTTTTGTTAAAACAGTTGCTGTTTCAGCTCCCTGTTAATCCCTGTCTGTATGCTTTGCTGACTTTAAACAAGACACCATTGACAATATGAGAGGCCAATTAGAGTATAAGCATTAGGACAATTGCCTGAAGCCTTCATGCTCAAAGGCAGTAAACACACAGCTCCTTTTCCTGTGATACTGCAGGAAAGCAGGAGACAATAAATTATCTTATGTTTATAAGACTACACCACCAATGGAGATGCTAAGTGAACATAATTAATGTTCCAGGGTCTTGAGATGAACATTAAACCTTCATGATACTGCCTTATCTGTGTGGGAAAACTCATTCGCATTTTTTTTCCTCTGATGTTGTTGTTGTTGTTGTTGTTGTTTTTTTGTTGTTGTTTTTTCCCCAAGAGGCAGGCTATACGTTTTCCTTCCATTTGGTTACATTATGTTCAACCACAATGGCTGATTTTATTCCAGTTGATAGTGGGATGGAACACAATTTTTAATGGATGTTTCAGTAAGTTGAGGTGATCCTCTGATGCATTCAATCACTAGCCTAGTAAGACATCCTGCATGGGTGAGTTTAGCCACTGACTTACTGAATAAATTATTGTTTTGTCATCATAGTCACTAGCCTATACTATACATTGTCAGATTCATACTTATTTTGGATATTATGTTATACTGTTTGTTTGACTGCTTGTTTACTTTGTTGTTCCCTGTTTATTCATCTGTATCATTTGTGTTATTTGTCAAAAGTATGTAAAGTGGGTTCTTGAAAGGCGCTATAAATATAAATGCATTATTGAATATCTGTTGGCTGGTTTTGGGCACTTTTCTGCTTGTCAGAATGGGAGACCTTTTAATAATAGAACCCCAATGTTAGACGAAAACGGTTTGTTTTTTTCAGGTGAATAATATACTGTAATATTAATAAGAATAGAGATGATAAATAATAAAACAAGTTTACATATTTAAAAAAAAAATTCTCTGTCATATTAACTCTATAATGTAGATTGAGTAAAGTCAGTTAAAAAAAAAACAACAACAAAAAAACCGTTGAATTTTTTATTTACAGCGCATGCGCAGCATGCACCAATCGCTTACCATTGCGTCAATAAAAATCGCCTCAGTTTTATCTTTTCGTCATATGTGTAGGACACTTCAGATATTTGAGAAAATATCGTTATGTTGGACTGTTGTACGTAGTGATAAATGACGATCAGAGGTATCATAACTCTTAATCGTCTTTAAACCGGCTTGATAGCTTATCGGTGCTATATTAGTCCGGCGGCATGGATCATGGGTACGGTAATAGACGCGGTCGGAGAGAAGGGGGTCGGCGGTTCGGAGATGGAGAATCCAAGTGGGATGGAGGGGCTGGATCCAGTGGGGGTGCAGGATACCCGAGGAGCTCCGATTGGGACTCAAGGGAAGAGCAAGGACATGGAAGGGGACGAAGAGGAAGAGGAGGAGGAAGAGGCAAACATCCACCCCATTTAAAGGGTCGAGAAATTGGACTGTGGTATGCCAAATGGGGCGGCATTAAAAGATCTGAGGCAGAGAGGAAATCTGTGAGTAGTAGTCGACGGTTACAATGATGTCAGGTTGTTTGTTTATAAAATGTTTGAATTATAGTAACGTTACTTGATAATGTGTCGTCTGAGATTGACAGCTATTACGAGTCAGTGGCATAACTAATATTGATGTTTGTGAGACATTTTATAATGGGCGAAAAAATTGTACACAGCAGCACAACATTTCTGAACTGAAATAAGTCATGTCAAATATATTTATATAGCGCTTTTCACAATACAGATTTATCAAAGCTGCTTCACAGTATCAATCAAAAACAACTTAACAGTGTTTGTTTATTACTGGAAAAATGACATCCAAGTTTGGTAGAGCTGATCAATGGTATGATGGGTCATTTAATTTGAATATCCCTTTTTTGAATAAACCTTTTTATTATTAACTTTATGCGATTGTAGATGCTTTCCATCACCACTTGGTCAAAGTCATTGTAAAAAGTTGCATAAAAGTAAGGTTTTGTTAGAAATTCATAATTGAGAACAACTTATGTTCGTTTACTAAACAAATTTCAAGCATTTATGCAATAGTCTTTGGATCTATTTGTTGGGTATATCAATATAAACAAGTTAATGAGTGGTGGTATTGTGTGCAACACTATTTCAAAACAGTCTGGGAAAATGTTTATTTGACCAATCAGTATCTATGATATGATAATGCGTATTTTAAGACTGAGAATGGTTGTGTCATTTTAGAGGGCCGTTGTTCAGATGGATGAGTCACGAGAGCAGCACATTACTCAGTTGCTGAATTCTGTTCAAAGAGATCTGGGCAGAGATGAGCATCCCTCCACGTCTCAGAGCTGGAGGGTGAAGGAGGAGCCCAGTGGCCACAGGTGCTAAACAATATTGTACAATCATCTGGGTCAACGTTGTCATTGAAATAATGGACAAAAATGTCAAGGTATTTTAACATTTTGTTTTCCATAATTATGCTTAACGAAATGATGTCTGCATTCCAGTTACTTTGATGGAGATGATCCTCCAGAACTGCCGAACATTGTGAAAGTGCCAAAAATTGAGCCTAAAGAGGAGAAACGGGAGGATGAGCTGGGAGCAAATGTGAAAGAGGAGCTTAATGACGCTGACCTGGAATACTTACTCCAGGATGTTGTGCGGACAGCCTCCCTGGATGAGGAGCTCAAGAAAGATCTGGAGAAGAAAAAAGAAAACGCTAGATACATCGATATGCTGGTGAGACAGACAGAGAACTAAAGAGATCGGACGGTGTCAAAAAAAGAAATGCGCATTTGCCCACAACTTTGTTTTAATATGGCATTTCCTTTTTCAGAAATTCAGAGAGAAGCTACCTTCTTATGGGATGAGAGAGGTAAATGTCACCTTTTGTGATTCATATACAGTTATATCACTGTAAAATTAGCTGTAAAACATTAGCAGTGTTTAAAAGTTACATATTTAAAAGTTTTGTTCCTCTAAAAAAATGTGTCATGCTTTAAAATAGCTTAAATGTAACTCTAGCCCTGCCTAATTTGTTTATATGCGGTTCTATGAATTTGCAAATTAGCCCCGCCTCCATCCACTCACTCCAGCTCAGACATCCACTCAATCGCACGTTGTTGTGATTGGTTACAAGTTAGTTTGTGATGTCAGAAACACTGTTTTTTTCAAACTGCATTTTTGAGACTGTCTTTGGTTCACTGAATTTGCACATGGTTTGTCTTAAAGCATATTAAAAACATTACATAGACATACAAACAACATTAAATGCTTGATCTTCACCACAGGGGGACTTTAAAATATACAGATAACCACCACAATAATACAGGTGACACAATAGAAAGCCACATGATGAATCAGAGTTAATCTTAAACTGTTCACAAGACATGGTCAAGATTGTGCACAGGCTCATACACACGAAGGCCAAGAACATCAGGGGAACACACATGACACTAGAATGACTAAATAACATTAAATGTAACACAAAACACACTGTTAATGATAATAAAAATAAGAAAGGACAAAATTATTTATAAAAATTGAATAATATGTGATGTTTAACTCAGGGACTTCTGGGAATGTCTTTTTTCTATTATGGTAATTGATAGTTTTTACTTGCTAAACCAACTATACATTTGACAGTATTTTACAGTAAAATGTTATGGGATATTAAATTATTTACGGTTCACCATATATGTAAGGTTTAGGTTTTTAAACATTTTTAATGTAGCATTTTTACAGTTTTTTTTTCTGTGAAATGTAGAATTTTTTTTTTTTTTTTTACAGCGTAAGAATTCGTGAAGAAGCATTTTAGTTCACCCAGTGAATGTTACTATTTTAAGTTCTCTCATGCATCTTTCGGTTTTGTCTTACTGTAGGAACTGGTTAAACTGATCAGTGCTAACCAGGTACTGGTAGTCAGTGGAGAGACAGGCTGTGGTAAGACCACCCAGGTCACTCAGTTCATCCTTGATGACTTCATCCAGAGGGGCGTGGGCTCTCTCTGCAGGGTGGTTTGCACGCAGCCACGGCGTATCAGTGCCATATCTGTAAGTAAAAGCATTATTCAATTTTAACGTTGTTTTTCTCTAAACTTTTCCACGGACACCCTTGCACTCTCTTTGCGGCCTCCTGGGGGCTCCCGGACGGTTTGAAAACCCTGGCCTGTGTTAGAAGATAATAGACATAAAAAATGTGCTGTGCTGGTGATCCTCCAGGACAGGTCACATGATGTGTCAGAAATCATTCTAAGATGTGATTTATTGCCCAAGAAACATTTCCCATCAATGATGAACATTTTTTCTGCTAAATATTTGTGTACATATTTTTTTCTAGATTCTTTGTTTAATGGCAAGTTCAGAAGAAAAGCATTTAGCCCGTTTTGAAATGGAACTCTTTTATAATATTATACATTTACTGTCACTTTTGATCAATTTAATGTGCATTGTTGCTGAATAAAAGGTATTCATTTTCATTATTCATTCAAAGGTATTCCCTTTCCTGATGAATTTTTGTTTAGTTAACACCATGATCTCTAACATGGGGCAAGTTGTGTCACTGGACCAGTGATAAGCCATATAGATACTTTCAAGTTCAGTATACACTGCAACAATGAAATATTATTAGGCCTCTTTGTTTTTGTTCTTGTTTTCTTTGTTTCTTCTTTCACCTTGATTTGAGGACAACTTCATTAAAAAGTAGCATATCTGATCCCATTCTCCCTACCTAATTTGTAGAGTGTCTGTGGTCCCACAAAAGTATGCTTCTATTTAAGGTGTGAAGTTAAAAGTAAATGCTTTTGTTTAGGTTGCAGAGAGAGTGGCTTCAGAAAGGGCAGAGCCGGTGGGAGAAGGGAAGTCCTGTGGGTATCAGATCCGTCTGCAGAGGTAAGTGAATCAGATCTGCAAGTCATTCTTAATCCTGTAATCCCCATCCCGGTTCTATGGAGGCTATTCTTTATAGCTGAGTTTTGGCAGATGGGTGAATTTGGCAGAAAGTTTAAAATTCTCTTTCTCAACTGTCCAGAAGAAACCCTAACTAATTTATGCTTTGTATACAGTACACACATACATTCTTATCTAGGTTTGCCTTAGGCTATATAAAGCAATAATTATTATTTTTTTTAGGTTTGTTTAACAATATTAAGACCAATTTACTGTAACAATTTAATTAAATTTTTTATTTCAAAGTCAGGGTCAACTTCATTGTCATTTTTAGCACATTGCATGGCAATGGTTAAAAACGAAAAAGTTCCTTCAGGGAACAACTGTGACAAAAACATAGTGATAGTAAATATAAATAATTCAATTCAAATGATTTGTATAGCACTTTTCACAATATTCATCGGTTTAAAGCAGCTTTACAGAAAATGCATGAGTACAAATTAATTTCTTATCAGAGGTAACTCTCTAAATTATGTTTCCGAAATGTACATATACAAATCAGAGTTAGCTGAAAATGTGTTAAACAATGTGATAATGGTGTTTGGGTCAATTTGACCCGGAGAAGATTTTCTTTTTCCTGAAAATACTAGTTAATGTTATCGCTTTGGACTGAAACTTAGTGATTTTGTTCCCAAGCGGTATAACTATATCTCATTTGTTTTTTGAACATTTTCGTATTTTTTTTGTGGGAGTTCTGTTACCTTGTTACACTTGTAGTGTTCCCGGTCAAAAATGACCGGCCTAATAAAAATAGCTTATAAATCACTCATTATACCATATTTTCACCCATTCTTGGATTCAATCTTTTTGTCAACTTGTTCTCTTTCAATTAGGACTGGTTTTATATTTCTGTTTGCATCTGATTTATCGTGGCCCTCATGTATCTGAGAGTAGGCATGGTAAAAAATGGTCACAATGGGCAACCATTGAAAGTGAATGGGAGAGACTGAAAATAACAGAACAATTTAGTTTTCAGGAGCATGTTCATTATTTTCATGTACACATATGAGCATGTGTGCTTGCAAACATCGAGCCCTTGGACCTGTGCATGTATCGATACATTTATACACACGCTACCCAGACACACACACGTTAAAACACAGAAACTTTGAGTATTACACACATTCTTTTCCACAGAGAGAAATTTGATCCTACCCTAACCTGCATCTAATATACATTTATCCATGACATTACCACACACACAGACACACACACACACAAACTGGCCGTGACTGCAGTGATCCGGCTTCAAAATAATCTTTCTTTCATGTTCTTGTTTCATCACAGCTTCCAGAAAAAATATTATGACATTTTGTTTTGGAACTGTGAGGTTCTCACCATAGACAGTGGTTCTCACACAGAACTAGACAATATTTACACATCATGTGATAGCACAGTGCCTCACAGCATCTTGCTTGTCATTCATTTGTGGCAGCACAATGGCAAAGCAGCACTCTGCACATGATGTTATTCATCAGATTTTTGACTCAGAAAATAGTGGGGAGGATCATTTCTCTCTGTGGAAAAGAATTTGTGTAATACTCAAAGTTTGTGTGTTTTAACGTGTGTGTGTGTGTCTGGGTAGCGTGTGTATAAATTTATCGATACATGCACAGGTCCAAGGGCTCGATGTTTGCAAGCACACATGCTCATATGTGTACATGAAAATAATGAACATGCTCCTGAAAGCTAAATTGTTCTGTTATTTTCAGTCTCTCCCATTCACTTTCAATGGTCGCCCATTGTGACAATTTTTGACCATGCCTACTCTCAGATAAATGAGACCCACGATTAATCAGATGCAAACAGAAATATAAAACCAGTCCTAATTGAAAGAGAACAAGTTGACAAAAAGATTGATTCCAAGATTGGGTGAAAATATGGTATAATGAGTGATTTATAAGCTATTTTGTATAGACCAGTCATTTTTGACCGGGAACACCACAAGTGTGTCTATGTGCCATATTTTTTACAAAACAAAATTTTCAAAACAAAATTCCTGGTGAAAATTTTAAGTTTACTAGTGTGATCAACAATACCAATTTTCTTCAGATTTTATTTAATATTTCCAAAATTATTCAAAAATTAAAAAAAAACACTCAAAAAATGAAATACCTACTCTCAGATAAATGAGGCCCACGATTATTCACCACAACACCACAAGTGTTCTAGGGTTTTGAACACCACATGAGGGTTAAGGCAGAAACTATTGGTAGAGACAATAGGTATACAAGGTATACAGAGTAAGACAGAGAATTAAATAAGGCAATACATGAAGTTTAGCAACACTGAGGTATACAGTAAGTTGTAGTGTTGAATTTGAAGATTGGGCTGTGAATTGTGGAAAATACAATTATGACTATGACATATATGATTATGACAATACAAAAAAACCCCACAGATGTTTTACACTAAGGGCCCTATCTTACACCCGGCGCAAATGAGTTCGTACACTGACGCATGTATCATTCCTATTTTGCACAAACGCGAAGCGGGCCTTGCCCTTCATGGACGCACGTCGGTAAACTAGGAAATAAACTTGCGCTCCCTGGGTGGGTCGGCGCAAAAAGGAGGTATTTCGGGCAAACATTCCCTAGAGCTATTTTGCAGTTCCAGAAAACAATTCCGCCACCAACCAGAAAAAAAAAATCTAGTCTAAAGTCAGTGGTGCATTGCGCGTTGTTCATAATGCTATTTTAAGCGCACATGCTTGGCCATATTGTAGCAAGTGCACAACGCGCATACCCTTTGATCCTTTCATCAACACAGATGCAGCAGTTTTTATTTTTGCAAATCATACATTATAACAAGGAAAAATATTAACACATGAGGGAAATCATTGTGGTTTACATGAAGATGTAAAAAATGTAGGCCTAAATCTAGCTTACATATTTACCCAATTTTTTCAGGCTAATTGCATTAATGGCAGATCAGACCTGTTTGCCCAATAGTGGCAAGACACATATGTATATAAGGACATGTGACGTATTATTTTGTCCGTCAAGAACCAGGAAAAAAAAAAAATCTGAAGATTGCGAAATCACCTTGTAAATCCCCCATAATAATACCAATCCGCCATGCAACATGCGCACCTGCTCTTAAAGGGTATGTTGGATGACACTCTGATTGGTTTTTCACGTTACGCCCAAACCACACCTATGAATAATGAAGCTATTTCAGACCTCAGACCAACCCCTTATAAACTTGAGTCGGGCGCGAGAGTCATTTATCCCGCAGGTAAAATAGCAACGGAACCCAAGGCCCGCCCAAAAAGTTACTTGGCCTACTTGCGTCCCTGAGTCTGTTAGAGAGGTTACGTTCTGGCCTTTATGGTGAGCTGAACAAGCCTTAATTTTCTTCTTTAAATAATTTTACTGGAATTACTGTATCTTTTATAATGAGAGGAAAAGCTGATCGTTTTTTAGAAGAGGTAAAATAATTAATTGATAGTTTTGATAAATGAATGGAATTAAGGCTTCTTTTGTACAATACACATTGTTTGTTTTTGTTATGATTTTTCTTTGTGCTTCCTTAAAGAGGTCAAATCCTTTTCTATTTCCTTGAGCCCTCTTTATAATGGTAGTCAACATTTATAATTTTTCTTCCTTGGGTTCCCTTGGTGACTGTGAGTCACAGCACTTACTCGCAGGCTGCAGGTTTTCTGTTGGGTTCAACAACAGGGCTGCAAAACGCTCTATTGACGAAATGTGTACCTCAAACTGTTCAGGGACCTTGTTAAAAATAAACTTCAGCCATTCTTGCGTTGAGAAGGCTATACAGAGATTCCCAACAGATGGGTAGGCAGAGCCCAAGCATTTTCTTATTCTTATTGTTAGAATAAATACCAACTTTAATAACAGTTTTGTTTTTCTGGTGTTTAGTAATAATATGTCCTAGTTTTCTCCTTGAAAGTTCTTTTCTCGTAGTTCACCAACACTGGCTGGAGTTGATGTGGAAATGTGTGAGGTCGAGGTGATTTGTGTGTGTGTTCATTCTTGTGGTGTTACATTTGTGCAGGTTAGTTTCAATAGCCTAGTCATTTTGGACTGGGAAGAAAGTTGAGTTTTGAAATTTACACTGTTCTCAAAATATAGTTCTCCTTACTAGAGGTTCTCTCGTAATGTGTAAGCTAGCTTACTCTATGGGAAAGATTCATCTTTTCTGAGAAGTTGAAGTCAAAAAATTATCCTTTAGTTTTGTATCCATTGTCAACGCAGTTCAACTGCAGCAGACCATGAGTGGGCTAGCTAGCAGCTCATTGGTTCGCTCAGGGAGAACTGCTACAGCCTATGAGGGAACTCGGTTGAACTCGCGGCCAATGAGAAGCAGACACGCTCTCATTGCGTCAAAGCCCGCCAATACGGCGTGGCCCGAGTCTGAATAGTTGAGTTTCCTGCTGTTTTCCTGGCTCTACGCACCTGCTGATCTCTGAGAGGAAGCTGCGTCGCCGTCGAGAAGGCATCTCTTAGCGAGCGTGGACAGAGTCTGAGGAAGCCGGCCATCTTCGCCACCTTCAGCCATCCTGTGAGCTAACATCCGGCGACGTATCCTTACATTTGTATTTCGCTTGTCTAACTTCACAAAAGAGCAGCGAGCGCCTTTTTAAAGACGCCTCGCACACCTGCGGCTCATGTCGCGCCCATCTCAATGCCGGAGACCCGCGCTGTATGAGGGACGAGCTGCTTTCACCTGTGCCGACCGCGGCTAGCTTTCTTTACATTACAAGAGAGCTAGCCCGCCCCCCCCTTGCATAGCTTCACCGGTAATGGGTTTATGGTGTGTTAGTTCCACCAAGGCTGGTCCTGTTTGCCACTATCACGCCCTCTTATCTGCTCGTGCTATTCAGCTTGTGTCTTTACCGCTGTGGCTCAGTGATAAAACACAAAGCTTTTCTCACCAGAGACCCGTGTTCGATTCCGGCTCTTGCAGATAATTTTATGCAG